AATTTTTGCCGGACATGGTTTTCTCACCTCTGTATTCTGTTAATTGAGGATCTGAATTGACTTTGCGATGCAGGGAAAATCTGCAACTGTGCCCCCAATCAACGAACTGACAGTAGCTCTGAAAAACCATGACCTGTTTGTTTATATGGGTCATGGAAGCGGTATGCCTGAACAACCTTTTTCCCTTCGGTTGCACTTTTGTATTTCTTGACTATCCTAATAAACTCATGTTGATTTCTTTCACGCTGACATTTCAGGAATGCAATATATGCCCGGAAGCAAGATTCAAGAACTTGACAGTTGTGCTGCTACTCTACTGATGGGATGCAGTAGCGGTTCTCTATCCTTGAAAGGATGCTATGCCCCACGAGGAGCTCCCATCTCGTATTTGTTGGCCGGTTCTCCTGTTATTGTGGCTAATTTGTGGGAGGTAACTGACAAGGACATCGACAGATTTGGTAAGGCCGTGCTTAATGCTTGGTTGAGAGAGAGGAAAGAAGCTCCTCCAGATTGTGCTCAATGTAATGTGCATGTAAAGAAATACGAGTCTATAGATCGTTGTACTCACAGACCCAGAATTGGATCGTTCATGGGTCAAGCTCGAGATGCTTGTACCCTCCCTTTTCTCATTGGTGCTTCACCAGTTTGCTATGGTGTTCCTACCGGTATAATGAGAAAGAAAAATGTATAACATGATTATTTTGTAAATAAAGTTTGTAATTTGTTTCTTGCACTTGAAAATAGAAAAGAATAATGTATACAAACTGTAATTTGTTTGTTGTATCCTTCACATTCTTGAGCCAGCCGAAAACTCATCGGAGTATGGAATGTCTGTAAGAAGTAAATGAGCATGAAAATGTAGTACGGATGCTAAACCCTCTACTACCCATTGACTAAGACCTCGAAAATCTACACTTCAACATTTTCTTACCTTCACAAACCACACTAAAATCTAATTCAGTTTCCATTTGCATCTCTACGATTTCTTCTTGAACGTCTCATAAGGGCTCTACCTTTTGACGATGTAGAAGACCGGTCAGTGATGCGTTAGAGTTGCTGTCATCTTCATTAAAATCATCGTCATCTTGATCATAATAATCAGAAGCATCTCTACCTAAAGCAAGGTTGGAATCTCTCTCGTGTGATCTACCTGCAAAAACAAATGCATCCAAAAAAAGAAGAGATGACCATTTCTCATGTTTTTTTTTTTTTATCGGTAAATGTAAATATCAAAGCCAATATCACATACAATTACTTCGGGCATACCCGGGATAAACAAAAAGAGTGAAGTATATAAAAAGTCGAAGACCCAACGTTAAGGATTCGAAATGGGTCAAGACATTTGGATACAATGAGAATATAACTTTGTATACGTATGTCTTGATCCGTCTCACAATGAAATCCACGTTAGGTGGGAGGTCTTCAAAAATTTTCCTATTACGTGTTAACCAAATGTAGTAGATGGTGCTCGCAAGAGCAATCCTCTTTGCCTTACTTCGCCATGAAGTCCCTTGAGCCTCCTTTTTGATTCACTTAATAGAGTTAGCAATTGTTGATATAGATCTTTTGATGCCAAGCCAATGTCTAATATTCCACCATACGGTCGAAGATAAAGAACATTCAAAGAAGAGGTGACAGCCCGTCTTCACATTTTGCTCACAAAGAGCACAATTCCGATTAATATCCAAGTAATGCAGTTTGTCTTTAGTTAGGAGTTTAGATAGGACTCCTAACCAAAGCACAAAGGAGTGTTTTGGAGTAATGCAAGAGCTTCAAAATCGGCTGCACAAACCTTCTTTGATCCTCTCGACCTAAAGAAGTTGTAGGCAGATTTAGTGCAAAATTTGACCCCAATCGACCAACTTTGTAATCTGTCTAGCACAACCTGAATTCGGAAAGCATTATCTCCAGTCAAGTTGCTCAAAATATCACCGTTTTGTGGCATAACATCATCCTGTCTTAGGGGAAAACCAGCATACAAAGGCAGATTGTTCATACTCCCTAGTTGGTTGAATTGAACATTCTGTCCATGCGAAAAAAACTGGGAGGCAGCCACATTCCGTGTCAATATATTTCTGATTT